GCAAGAACACTGTCTTGAAAAATGTGTGTATATATAAACATTTTCCTTATTACTTAGACTTGGTGGCCAAGATTCTGTAGCATCAGACAAAACTAGAACAAAGGAGCTCCATCATCATAGGGACATCTGACTATTGTTGTTGTTAACTCCCCTTGAGTTATCCCCAACTCATGGCAACCCTGTAGATGAGACATCTCCATGCTCTCTATTCTCTACTGCTCTGCTTAAGTCTTGGCAATACATGTCCATGACTTCCCTGATTGAGTCTAACCATCTGGCATGTGGTCTTCCTCTCTTTCTACTACCATCCACCTTTCCCAGCATTATTGTCGTTTCTAGTGAGTCATGCCTTCTCATAATGTGGCCAAAGTATGACAGCCTCAGTTTCATCATCTTGGCTTCCAGGGAGAGTTCTGGCTTGATCTGTTCTAGGACCCATATGTTAGTCATTTTGGCCATCCACACTATCCTCAGTATGCTTCTCAAGCACCACATCCCAAATGAATCGATTTTCTTCTTACCTACTTTTTTTTTACTGTCCAGCTCTCATATCCATACATGGTGATGGAGAATAGTATGGCTTGGACCTACCTTTTCAGCCTGGGATTGCCACAACGGGGTCACTGCAGTTTGGAGCATTTGGAAATGACTCCTGCAGCATTCTCCTAGCCATGGGGTGGATCAAGAACAGGCAGCTTGGAGAAACTGCTTGGGATCCTGCTGCAACTGCTTGGCTTGCTACACCCTGTGTCTGTCCTAATCTGTAGTATTTCAGTAACCCTTTTGTTGTGGCACCCCCAGGCTGAAAATGTAGGTTTTAGAGGGGAGGGCTGTAATCCTTTGGTTGGGGCACTGAAAACATAGGGTTTGGGCACCATGTTCACCTGCTAATGACTGTTAATATGAATCCCTAGCAATTAAAAGATCCCAAGTCCAATTTACAGTCCCATGACTACTGAGCAGGATGCTAGTTGGTGTTCTTTTTAAAATTTGAATGATATACACTCTACAAAGGTGGTTGATGCTTCATGTTTCATGCTTAATCACCAGGAGCTGCCTCTTATAACATCAAGTTTAGAACATCACCAGGGTCTGCCTTTTGTTGTTGTTATTGTGGAATTTATTCTGCCACTCTCCTATTGTTGGCTTTTAGTTTGCCGATATTCTAAAACATTTTGCTTTTATACTTTTGATTATTGTAGATGACTTATTACCTTTTATTTTATAATAATAAATAATAATAATATTTTTTAAATAATAATAATAATAATAATAATAATAATAATAATAATAAATGCAATTTGTTTGAATTTTAATGTATTTCAGGTGCTTTCTATGTGTTTCATAACAGAAAAGCAGGATAAGAACCCATAACAACAAAACAATCATCATCATCATCATCATCATCATCATCATCATCATCAGGTGTGAGCATGACTTCTTTGTGTTGCTTGTCACAAGTTGGCTGGCCATGGATTTGGGGTTTAGAAAATCCATTTACTGACAACCAATATCAAAAAGCTTGAGCAATACTGAAATATAAAATAAATACAGTTGGCCCTCTTTATCCATGGATTCCTTATCCACAGATTCAACCATCAATGGCTTGAATATCTATATTCCAAAAAGCAAACCTTGATTTTGTCATTTTATATAAGGGACACCATTTCACAATGTCATTGTATTTCATAGAACTTGAGCACCCATGGATTTTGGTATCCTTGGGGGTCCTGAACCAAACCCCAGCAGATACCAAGGGCCTAGTGTCACTCCCAAGCAACCCCCTATGCTGTATTCCCACTATAAAAATATTTGCATTGCATGGGCATTCACTCATTTGAATGAGAGAGGATGGGATGGAGGGGCTGGAGGAGGGAGAAAGAGGACATCCATTCCATCCCCTTCCATCCCCATATGTGCAAATGAACAAGGCAAAAGGCACATGGCTTCCTTCCTCATGCTCCCCTTCCCATTCTCTTCCAACCCATGTGAGTGAGCAAGTGAGCAAGTGAGGGATTGTACATGCCCTTC